TGCTGGTCAGTTTCAGCAGCGGCTGAATCTGGATGCCAGTTCCGACTTACATACAGATTCAACTTAAGAACAAACCTACAGTCCCTATCTTGTACGTAACCTGGGGACTGCCTGTATTCACTTAATTCACTTTAAGCAATGTGCTTAAACTGCAGCAAGGGAGGTTTAGGTTGGACATTAGGGAAAATGTCTTATCAGCGTGGTTAAACACTGGAATAAGTTGCCTGGGGAGGTTGTGGAATCTCTATCTCTGGAGATATTTAAGAGCAGGTTAGATAGGCATCTGACAGGGATGGTCTAGACAGTGCTTGGTCCTGCCATGAGGGCAGGAGACTGGACTCAATGACCTCTCGAGGTCCCTTCCAGTCCTAGTGTTCTATGATTCTATGAATAGTAAGTGTGACTGCTTACATAAGGACTGCAGAACTGGGATTTTGCATTGAAGTGTATGATGAAAACATGAGAACATTAAGAGAGAAAAAAAAAGTATGTCTCTAGTTACAGTCCCACTGGGCTGGAATTTTCATATTACAATAACAGGAATTGCTACAAATTGCTGTTATTACACCTGAATATTGCTGTTCATATTACACCCAAATAGCAGATGCTCAATTATGCCCAGTTACTTACTCTAGGCCTTTTTAAAGATTTTTTTACAGATGCACTTCAAGTATTCAACCCTCTGGGGGCAGTATGCTTCCATGCAATAAAACTCACTAATGTTCTTTGCCATGTATTATATTCACTTCCTAATCCTCCAGTTCATATTGGACTGCATCATTACTGCAGCAAGAACTGAAGGAATCTGGTGCACCTCAGAAACATTTGTACAATGCAAACTACTTTACATTCAGAAATTGCATAAAGAAGCCTGTGGAGTTGATTTTAAAATGATCACTGTGTATGTGTGTCCACAAAGCACTCTATTCTATAGTGATCAACATCCCCCAGAAGAGTGCAGGGAGAACAGAGCAGGTCCCTCAGCTGCAGGATGCATCCAAACGCATATGCTGCCACTGCTGAGCACAGCAGGTGAATGTGTGCACTGCATCCACTCCCTTTGCCTTACTGAAATCCCACTACATGGCAGTATGGGAAAGAAGATAAATTTAGGGTACAGAATTAACTTGGACATCTGCTGTTGCCCTGTTTGACACACAGCAGCATTTACACAGTTGCTACACTTGCTGTGAACAAAGGTGTGGAACAAACAGTGCTTGGGGTGTGGCAGCACCCCTTGGCTTGAAGTAGTAATGACAATCACATACATAAAGTTTCCATCACATACACGGTTGTTTTTGTTCTATGGCTTTCAGCACCTCCACCATAAATATTATTCCAATGTCCCTGGCTATAAAGTAGTGTCAATGTACTTACTGCTTGTTAAAGCACAGGGTGATTGGAGTGTCAAGTCACTGCAATGAGTAACTTCCCCTCATGATGAGCGACCAATGGTCATTTCTACATTTATTTGATCCCCTTGCAGAAATCTGGTGGAGCACATGTGGTAAGGAACAAAGACAGACTGTGCAGAGAAATGCCACATGGTTTTGCAATTTGCAGGGATTTTTTTCCCCAATTTCATCTGAAACTACAAGCAAAGACATTCTTCAATACACTTGAGAATGCAGATTAGGTCTCTGTCAATAATGTGCTTATGCTATTGTTTTAAAGTTGTGTACAATTATTTTATGCACATGCCTGGCAATTCAACTTTTTTGACATATTACTATATGGAAATTTACCAGTTTCTTTTACAGTAGGACGACATATTAGTCAAGCTATTAATGGGCTGAATTGATTTTTACTTGACAATGTCATCCCATCCAATCTAAGTTCTCTAATAGGAAAATATTTTTCCATTAAAGCATGTGATGAACAATGTACTAAAGGAAACACCACAAATTAATCTCAGACCTACACTCTGCAAATGAGAATGTAATCATGTACAAATATACAGTACTTTGAGGATGATACTTACACAGCGAGTTATATGAAGAACAAACAAGATTGTAACATGTCTAGAAATGAGGTAAAAATATCCTAATAGTGAAGAAGGCAAAGTGGTAAAACAGAATTTATACAAAACTAGATTTCGTCTTCTGATTCCATATCTCGTTCAGATGTTTTCAGTAATCCCATCTCCATCGACTGGGACCGTTTAATCTTTGAACGAACTACCCTGGAGACAATGTGGGGAAAGAAAAGAAGAGGTTTGCAACATCATTTTACATTCTAAAATAAAATGAGTCAAACGCTGACCTTGCTATTCGTAAAGGGGGCACAAAGTGAATCATTTTTATCATCAAGGAGCCAGAATGGAGGAAAAACTGGAAGAACTAAAATATGGCCAAAGGCTGACCAATCAGGGACATAATTGCCTACAAGAATGAAAATGGGTATAAACAAAAAGGAAGATGATATAACAGGTAGATGGCCCAGATATTGCAGTCACAGTGATGAAGCCTGATACTTCCCATATACCATTCCACAGAAAATCAGGATTTCCATGAGGGTTTTGTCAGATTAAACACAAGCACATACTTATCGCAGAGGCCAAAAAAAGATGTATTCAGGTGAAAGTATGAACAATGAAGTCTGTTTGATCTGTGCAACAGTCTACAAGGTAATAGCCTTCTGATTCGAGCAATTTAAAACTGGCACAGACGAGTACAATCTGCTAGCATGATGTAGGGACTCTGACTATCAAGAGATCTAAACCAATGGTTCGCAGGGATCTGAGCATTGCTGGGGTGCACAGAGGTTTTCCATGGGATACATCAACTCATCTAGATATTTGCCTACTTTTGCAACAGACTACATAAAAAGCACTCGTGGAGTCAGTACAGACTAAAACTGCATGCAGACCGAATGAGAAAGTAGGCAATTTTTCAGTAAAAGCTCTGACACTTATATTTTTAGGTCTGATTTTGTGAGAAATGAGTTCTTAAGTTGAGGTGAAAGTTGGGTTATGCAAGCCAAATCAGACCACTGAAAGGGGTACAGTCAGAGAGAAGCTGACAGCCTGCATGGGCTCCTGGGCAAGGTGGTGGGGGGGGGGGGCGGGGAGCGCCT